GGAGTTCTCTTTTTCTTTTAATTGGGAGTGGTTTCTCTGCTTCTTCATTTTGCTTATATTTCTCTGGCTCTGTGGATCTAGGAGTGTCAGTTATTTACTGTGGTCTTGAAGGGCTGTTTTATTTTTTTACTTGTTTGTTTTTATTTAAGGTGGGAGTGTTCCTGTGTGGTGGATGGTGTCCATCTAATAGTTTTGTTGCAATGGCTGTTCTTCGTATGGACAGTTGCCACATCTTTCTTCTGTGAGTGTTGACTGTTATCCCTTAGGTTGGGGGTGTGGTTGGTGTTGTGATCAGAGGCTGCCCTGATTGTTGTTGAGCATGGCCTCCATTTTTGTTCTGTAGTTGTCACAGCCTTGCCAGGGCCTGGTCTGCTCCCTTGTTGCAGGAATATAAGCTTCTAGACCTGTTTCTCAGCTGTGGTGTGGGATAGGCAGGTCTGGAGTGCTTCAGCTGGGAAGAAGAGTAGGCAGGAGGTGTCCACAGGGAAGTGCCCTCTGTGGTTCTGTCTGTCACTTGTTACGTGGGCTTATAAAGCACTCTTTGTTGACACTGCCCTTGCCCCTGCCTTAGCTGTGGGTATGTCAGCCACCTGCTGTGATGCCCCCTTAGTTCTGAACCCCAGGAACCACCAGTGCATATCCGCCAACGTCAAGTGCTAAGACCCACTGTAGTGAGCATCCAGTCACTTACCTGAATCCGCGGTGCACCGCAGGGCCAGTGCAGACCCCAGCCCCGCCTCCACATATGGTATAGAAGGCTGCCTATTGTAAATACCTGTACTTGCCCCGAATCAGAACTCTGCTCACTGCCTGTCCCTCCCAGAGGCTCAGGTCCACAAAGGGTCCAGAGACAGTATATCTGCCCCCTCTGCCTGGGGCTGTAAACAGATCCTGTGAAGTTGCAGGGCCACTGGGTAGGATTCAGCTTTCAGCCCCACCTCCACGCAGCAGGGATGGCTATGACCAAGCCCCACCTCTCTTCTCATGAGAACACACCAGCAGTGGAGCCGAGTGGAGACAGGCTACGGCTCGGCTGTGTTGTGGCCCTCCCCACCATTCATACCAGCAGTGGTGCTTTTTTATGGGGGTCCCATGCTGTTCTGTTCTGCACACATCCCCAGCCAGAGCTCACATCGCCCTCCAGTCCCCTGAGGCTACCTCCATGCCGTTGGCCCCAGGCTCCTCACCGACCTCCAGCAGCCCCTCTCGGCTCACATCTAGGGCCACAGATCCACGGACCCTCTGTGTCAGTTTCCCTTAGTTCTGTCTGTCAAGCAGCTGCCACTTTCTCATCCAAGCCTTGGAAGCTCCACTTCTGCCCCGCTGACCTCCCCGCTAGAGAGGGGGTGGCCCAGTGTGAGGGTGCCTTCCTTCCTATGCTGCTCCCTCACTGCAGGACCAGTCCTGCACCAATTTTTTCTTTTTTCTTTGTTTTCTTACTGGATCTTGTGAGAATCCTGTATTTCGAAGCGAGAGATACTCGGCCAGAGTTCAGTAGGTGTTCTGTGTGATTCAGTGGGTTTGTAGATGTTATTCTTGGTGTATTTGTGGGAGAGGGTGAGCTGTGAGTCTCTCCACTCTGCCATCTTGGCTCAACACCTCTCATCTTTTTGTGTTGAGTTTTGAGAATTTGTAAGTCCTTATGAGATTTGTGATTTGCAAATATTTTGTCCCATTCTGTAAGTTGTCTTTTCTCATTTTCATGTACAAAAGTGTCTAAATTTTATAAAGTCCAATATATCTGTTTCTCCTTTTGTCACTTGTGCTTTTGGTGCCGTATCTAAGAATCCATTGGCAAATCCTTGGTCATGAGAATTTACCTCCAAGTTTTCTTCTAAGAGTTTTAAGGTTTTAGCTCTCATATTTAGTTTGTAGATTTATGTTATTTTTTTTTATCTGTGATGTGAGGTAGATGTCCAAATTCATTCTTTTGTATGTGGATATCTAGTTGTGTCCACACCATTAGTTGAAGAGACTGTCCCTTCCCCATCGAGTGGACTTGGCACTCTTGTCAAAAATCAGCTGACTATGTGTGGGTTTATTTCTGGACTCTCAGCTCTGTTCCTTTGGTCTAATCCTTCCGCCAGCACCACACTTTTTTGATGACAGTAGCTTTGTAGCAAGTTTTGAAATTAGAAAGTGTGAGCCCTCTGACCATGTTCTTTTTCAAGATTGGTTTGGCTGTTCAGGGCCCTTTGCTTGCTTTTACTTTTTTGAAGGGTATCTTCACCAGTTATAGTGTTGCAGATTACCAGTGTGGTTTTTTTTTCCCTTCAATATTTGAATATATCATTTGTTTATCTTCTGGCTTTTACTATGTCTATGGAGAAGTCTGCTGTATCAGACTCTCCTTTGAGGGTAATCTGTTCCCTCTCCCTCATCCCCAGGGTTTTTTCCCTTTGTGGCAACTGCTGTGGGGTTTTGGTTGTTGCTTTTCTTTTGTCTTTTTTTCTTTCTTTTTTTTTCTTTTTGCATTTGTACTGTTTGTTCTTAGAGCTTCTTAAATTTGTGGTTTAATGGCTTTTGTTAGTTTTGTAATAATCTCCATCATTGTTACTTCAAAGATTTCTTCTTCCACAATCTCTTCTGCCCTCTTTTTGGGACTGCCGCTGTACGTACTGCAGGCCCTTTCGTTGTATTCCTTATGTCTCTTACATGCTACTCTGTTTTTCATCACTTGTTACTGTGCTTTGTTCTGTACATGCTTTTTTCTGATCTAACTTTTAAATTGTGTATAATCTATGATAAAACTCTATCCATTGGATTATAATCTGAATTACTGAGTTTTTCAGTTCAGGATTTCCGTTTAGGGTTTTTAAAAAAGTTTGAAAATTTCCTGCTGCAGTTCTCACACACGTCTTTTAGTTTCCTAAAAATATTAACCACAGTTAAAACGCCGTCATGCAGGTGTCTGGTGGATCTATTTTTGTTGGCCGCTGTTCTTCTTGGTTTTCAGTCGTACAGTCTTGTCTTTCTCTGTGCGTGGCTGTGTGTGGTTGAGTGCCGGGTATTGATTATGAAGAATTACAGTTGCGCTTTGCGATGGCCCTATCTTCCTCCTGAGAGGGCAGAGGTAACTCTGGCAGGGGGAATTCCAGATCGCTGTAGACAAATCTGGGAATGAGATTACTGGGAGTAGGCCTTTGGTCCCTGCAAGGCCTAGTCTGTTTAGAGTTGGTTCCCTATTCCTCGTAGGATGAGGATGTGTAAAGCCCCTGTACAAAACCGAGAGGGTTGCCCGCAACCTTCCCCTTCCTGGGGAGGCTGTGCTGTTTAATACTGATCTCTTAGCCCCTCAAATTTGTCCAAAGCTCGTTCAGCTTTTTAGCATCTTCGCCTTTTCTACCAGAATCAGCAGATGCTTCATGGAGAAAAAGTTGCTCTAAATGCTTCGTTCAACTCTGAGCTCCCCTTCTGCGCTCAGATATTGGCCTTGTAATCCTTCACTGCCTTGGTAGCTCTCTGGTGTTTTCAGAGAAATATATTGTATGTATACATACTTTTAAATTGTGTTAAGTTATACATAACTTACGATTTAATCACTCTTAAGTGTGTAATTCAGTGATATTAAGAACAGTAACGTTGTTATGCAGTCGTCACCACCATCCATCTCCAGAGCTCTCTTCTTTTTGCAAAACTGAAACTTGATACTCATTAAACGCTAATTCCCCAGCCTCCCCTTCCCTCAGCTCCTGGCAACACCCTTCCACTTTCTGTCTCTGGATTTGAATACTCTAAGTATTTCCTGTAAGTGGAATCATGTATTGTTTGTTCCCCTGTGTCTGGCTTATTTCCCTTAGGGTAATATCTTCAAGGTTCATCCATGTTGTAGCAGGTGTCAGAATTTCATTCCTTTTAAAGACTGAATAATAGTCCATTGTATGGAGATATACCACATTCTGTTTATCCATTGATCCATCAGTGGGCACTTTGTTCATCCATTCGTCCGTCCATCCACCTTTTGGCTGTTATGAATAATGCTGCTACAAACCAGAGTATACTAACATCTGTTTGAGTCCCTGCTGTCAGTTCTTTGGTGTATATGCTCAGAAGTAAAATTTGTAAATCGTATGGTAACTCTATGTTTAGCTTTTTGAGGCCCCACTGTACTGTTTTGCATAGCGGCTGCACCATCTAACATTCCCACCAGCAGTGCCTGACAGCTCTAGTTTCTCCACATACTTGCCAATGCTAGTTATTCTTTTGTTTTGTTTTGTTTTTTGACATCAGTCATCCTAATTGGTGTAAAGTGATTTTTTAAAATAGTTTATCTAGATTTTCTAGTTCTCAGCAGGAGGGTAGATCAGAAGTGAAAGTATTGGTCTTACTCTTGTACCCAGCACAGTGCTAGATACACAGTGGGTACTTAGTAAATGTGGGTGGAAGAGAGGAGAGAAGGTAAAGAGAATGCTCTGAGAACTGGAAGGTGGTTTGCAAATGTAAGACACGAGTTATAGATGGCGTGGTATGATGTGTGAGTACTGGCCTCTGGAGTTAGAATGACCTGGCTTTGAAGATGTGTGACTCTGGCTGTTCTTTTATCTGTATTGAATAAGAATACTAATTGCATACAGAACTTTATTTTATGAACAGCAAATTGCTAGACTAGGACTCAAGAAAGTGTGTGTGTATCCAGGAGCTGTTAAAAAGAGGATAACAAGAATACCTCCCTTGTAGAGATGAAATTAATGTCTGTTTTAAGGATAACATGAAATTATGCAAAGAAAAGTTCCTGGCGTTCAGGAAGTGCTCAGTACATTTTAGCTGCTGCTGTTCCCTGCAGTTGTGTTATTGGTTGGCTTTTGGAACCAGACGTGCTGTTGCATTTGCTGATTGAAGTCCTGAGTCTCAAGTTAACTTGTTTTTCAGAGACATTTCTTCCCCGCCCCCACCGGTGTTGGTGTGATATAGTTTCCATGCCAACTGGATTTGCTTGTAGGAAAGTGGAGCATCGCCTGTGTCATAATTTATTGCTCATTTGGTTTTTCTTGTTCTGCCAGGACACTGGTTAGGAGTGGAATGGGACAATCCTGAGAGAGGAAAGCATGATGGAAGCCACGAAGGGACTGTGTATTTTAAATGCAGGTAATTTTCCATTATGAATTGTATGGTTACTTAGGATAATATTTAATAGTTGAATAAACGGCGGGTGGGGAGAAGAAACAATGTTTTTGGCTCTTGGGATAGTTACAATGTAGAATTCGGTGTGTTCTTAAAAAAAGACGCTTCTATTAGTGGAATTTTTTTCTTGTTTTTAAAACTCTTGAGTCGTAACCTTACAGGTGGCGTTGCTTTCTTTGTCCTTTTTTGTGTTTTTGTTTTGTGACAGTTTTTTCTGTTGGATATAAACATTTCTCATTGATTCATTAACACTTTATCCTTTAAGTGAATACTAGAGAAGAGAAATGGCCTAGGTAACCAATAAGAAGCAGTTGATTAAACAAAATACAGAACATCCATAGTGGAGTGGCAGGCGATGAGGGGAAGAAGCCCTTGTCATGGAAAGACTCACACTTGTACTGCACAGCTCCTGGGCGTTTCTAACTGCTTGTTTTCAGAGAAACTGCACGAAGCTCTGAAAAGCGTGGTGGGGAATTTCAGGCAGAGTCTATCTTTTAGATTTTTGCTATTTGTTCTTTTCAGGTTTCAGTTTCCCATAAGAATTTTTTAGTAGTAAGCTTATTATTCTGTAAATGTGTTACAATGAACACAGTTCTGGCCTAGAAATCAAGAGGCAATTTTTACAACCCTAAACAAGATGAAATTTACTAACCTCTAAGATGACGGTCAGAATTAGTAACAAAGTATGTGTCCTGGTCCACTCTCCTGTGACTTTAGGATTGGCACGTTCCTAGAGGCCAGCTGTGACGACTGTGGCCCGGGCCAGCTCCGAGTCGGCCAGGAGCTCATGGAGGGTGTGGGGAGCAGTCCCTGTGTTGAGAGAGATGGTGGGAGTAGAAATTTCTTAGCTTGGCCTGGTGGTCCCTTATCTGTCTGGGCCACGACCTCCCAGAACCTCCAGTGCAGGAGCGTCCCCTGCGGAGCGTGCCCCAGCATCTGCCACGTGGCCTGTGGTCACACTGTCCTTGGTGGTCTCTGGATGTGATGATGTTTTCCGTCTTGGTTACTCCGAGTCGGAAAATCCAGACTTGGGTCAGTCCTGACAGATCCAGAGTTTGCCCTGAAGTGCTGATGGGCACAGACTTAGCGTCTGGGTTCTTCCCCTTGGAGTGAGCATTTCCTCTTCTGCTGTAGTCATGCCTGAGCGTTCACATGTGGGAATAAATATTGTCTTATTACAGATTACTTTTCTTTTATCTCAGTGAAATGGGCACTTTGTTGACTTTGGAGTCCTATATGGGTGGGTAATTCCGTCGCAGGTTATGAAGGGGGCGTTGGCTCTGACGTGGAGAACCCTGGTCTGGACTGAAGGACTCGCGCTGTGCTCTGTGGTCATCAGTGCTTGTGCTGGTATTAATTAGAGCAAGGCCTCAGCTAGTAAAGACTACGCCAGTATCTCGGGGCCTCTGAATCAGACAGAACAGATCATACCATGCACACTTGTTGTCAGACTAGCTCAGATCTCCTCCTAACGTGTCATAGACACGTCTTCCCTTTAAGAAATCCATTGGAGTCTTTTTTTATATTTTTCAGATTTTCCTTGGAAAGTCATAATAACAAGATGTTTTACCGCAGTAAACATTTTTCAGTGTTTAGATGCTGTTTTCATGAAGGCAAAGCAATGGCAAGTTGTCAGGTCATAAATTGTCACATCTTATACGTGTGAAATAGCTAAATGGCAAAATGGTGATATTCCCGCTGTAGCTGAGGGGGAAAGTCAGAAGCTGGCGCGTTTACAGCAGAGCTGGGACCTGCGTGTCTTCAGAAGCACGTGTTAACACCCCGTGGCTGGCAGTGCGTTACGCGGGGTCTAACGAGGTGGTTGCACGGTTTGGCACATACATCTCAGGAGTCCTGGCTTGCTGTCCTGTGCATTCGAAGCAGGACATCGGGGTAGGTTGAGGGGAACGTTTGAGCTCCCTCTCGCGTCTCCCCAGCACCTCAGGTGGCTGGGGTGACTCCCTGCCGCTCCAGGACAGAGCTGTGGGCAGACGGTGGTCGTCTGGCCTGGTTCACGGCATACGTTCTTCTCTGTGTATCTTCCCCAACCAGTCCAGCTCAGCTTGGTCCCATGAGACTCCAGTTTAGACAGCATAACATTTGCAGGAGTGTAACCTCGGTTTGAACAGTGACCTTAAAGAACTGTTAAGGCTTTCACCCAGAGAATAACGTTCTTACAGTCAGCTTCCCGCGTGTCTGTATTTGCCACGGTCGTCCCTTATTCTGGCCCATTTGAGATGGCAGTGGCAGGCACAGATGACCAAGCCGGTTATGAGTACAGCTTGACAAGCTGGAGTTGAGCTCAACTCCTGTCTGGGAATGGACTCCTCTTCAGTGCAGGTCTCTGCAAATGGGGTGAATCTTTTTCTTAGTTGGTGTGACATGGTCAGAGGAGGATTAGGGAGTGGACCAGACACCTTGGAAGGCCCCCCCAAACATGGGTGTTGATCATTTCATGTCACTCTTTGGTTTTAATCTGAACTCATATAACCTAAGGTAACTGTGGCCATCTCCTGAGCTGGTATTACCCATAACCAATATTTGTGACACTCCTAACTTACAGTAGTAATGTTCAGGCTTACCCAAAATTGGTGGCGAGAACCCACCATCAGTGTTTCTCCCAGGCGCTTCTGTTTCCGTCTCTCGTCTTTTTGGCGAGTTGAGAGGTTCGGTGAAGGTGATGAACCTTGAAGTTCTCTCTGCCTTGCGCCTAGGGTTCCAGTGTTTTCCTTTCAGCCTAAACTAAAGCGTATACTCTAAATAGAGCTGTGTGGCCAGTGTTTCACCCTCAGCTTTTATTTAAAATGTTCTCTTTTGAAATAATTACATGATTTCTCTTTTCTGGTGAGCAAGAAATCTTAAAATCTTTTCTTTGACACCAGTGAGTGGAATTTAACTTGAGTCCTTGGCGTCAGAGGGGACACACTGTTCCAGACTGTGGCCGCCATACGGGAGGGCTTGAAAAAGGGAAGCCCCGGTTACTTACCTGTGTGTGTCGTGGGATTGTTGCAAAGTGTTTGGAGGTTCTTGAATGAGCATTAATGGGTCAGTGTAAAATATCCCCTGGGATGGTATAAAGTGTTAGAAGAATTAAAAAAAAGTCACTATCGTTAGTGTGCTGAGAGGATACAGACAGGGCATATCTCCGTCAAAGGTGAAGAGAGAGACTCCATTTTGGGAAGCTGCCCGTGAATCAGGGCAGAGGAGAAATCGTGTCATTCAGAAGCAGTGTCCAAAAAGCTGCTCCTCTGCTGGGCTGTTTTTTTTCTGTTTGGAAAACAAGTTCCCCAGGTCAGATATGACAGCGATGTACGTTCGATGAGAGTGAGTCTCCTCTCGTGGTGGACAGCAGTTATGCAAGCTTGCAGAAAAGACTCTGCCAGTGCCTGTAGCAAGCAGTGCAGCAGGACCAGCGTGTGCCAGAAACTCCCCGGTGGGCCGGTCTTCCCCAGCCTCCAGCACCTACGCATAAGCCCCAGTCAGCAGGATGCTCACTAGGGGAGTCTGGAATCTGTTGAGGACCCTGCCCCTTTGAGTAAGTGTTGCCAGATTCAGCAAATAGAAATACAAAGTGCACAGTGAAATTTGGATTTCGGATAAGCAGTAAGTCATCTTTTACTGTAAGTGTGGGGCATGCGTGGTACATACCTGTACTGAACAATGGTGGTTTATGTGGAATCCAGGTTTACTTGGGCATCCTGAACTTTACTTGACAGCTCTGTTGGGCGGATTGAATCTTGATTACAGGACCTGCTGAGAGTCTTCCATTTCCGCCAGGGCCGTGGTCAGGACGTAAGTTTTGTGGGCTGCCTCAGTAACCAGGGGGCGGAAGGAGGCGGGAACGTGGACAAGCTGAACGCTTACAAGAGAAGAAGTCGTGGGCTCTCTTCCTCCCACCTCCAGTTTTTTTTCTCTTCAGACAGGATTCAGGATTTCAGGTTTGGCTGCAACGTGTTGATAGAAGCCTAGGATCTGTGGCGTCCCTGTGAATTACTAGTTTACCTCTGGAGATATGGTGGTGTTGACAGGCACGCCCTCCGCCAGTTTCCTTATTTGCTGGGCTCTTTTGTTTTCTGAGCAACCTGCCAGCAGTGTTCCAGAGGAGACAGCTCTTTGATGTTTTCCTTTGATCTGTAAAGGGCGCAGCGCCTGCTTTGCAGCCTCTGAGCACCACTGCTCACTCCTTTCATCTGCCTGCAGCCAAGCTAAACGGGAATCAAGGTCTCTCCTGGCATTGCTCATTGCCACTGTTAAAGTGTGGGCTTAGTACGGAAGAGAAAACCATGGTATTTGTTTTCAATTGTCGTTTTCTCATTTATTATAAATGTGCTGGTTTTAAAATTTGTGTCTGTATTATTTTTAAATTTCAATCACATAATATTTGAAAGATAGATTTTCCTGTTTCTATTTCCACCCCCTCTCCATGTTACTCCTTTAAGGAAAACTAATACTATTTCATAAATTTCATAATTTCATTTCACTAGAATTTCAAATTTCACTGTTTCATTAACCAAAGCCTATTTCATAAACGGGAGACTCTAGGAATAGTCAGATGCAAAACTCATTTGTTGGTATACATTTAGGTAGATGGAGGTACATGAGTTACTGTTCTAAGTTGTCTGGAATTATTTTTCCAACACCTGACCGCATACCTTGGGATTAGTTCCACCATGTACAGGTGTAGTCTTAACATTTGTAATAATAGTCAGTCGTCAGTAAACACAAGATCTGACTGTGTGCTGTCGGAGTGGAGAAATTAAACGAGGTGACCTGAGAGTGATCTTTGTCATTTACTTCATAAAAAGCACCTTTGTTTAAACTGTGATGTGTTACGTCCCACGTCACAGTTGTGTGTTTTGTGGTCATAGTGCTGCTGTGGCTGTGCCTTCTTTGTTCGCATAGGTGTTGACACGTAGGATCTTCCTCTGTGCTCACGGGAGGGCAGAAGTACCAGCACGTTGTCCTCAGACCCCTGCATGTGTGTTTCAGGGTCCACGTCAGAGTCTCCTTCTCTGTGGAATACGCACTAGACCAGGGCTTTTTTTGTGCTATGTGTCCTTTTGGGAGTCACAAAATAATATTTTTAAAAAACAGGAAAACTACATTGTGTTACCGAGGAATATTTGGTCACATTGAAGTAATAAAAGTATTTTAAAATTATCATATGGTTATATATATATTTCTGTACTAAGTAACATTAGATAATAAGATCTACCAACAGATCTAATAGCTACTAGAATTTGTGGTAGTGATGAAAATAAATATAGTTTTTAAGATCTCTGCAAGGACTGTAAAGTGATACAGAAGTGTCTGATTTCGTAGGTGACAAAATACGACAGATACTGCTGTGGTGTGTTGCCTGGATTTACAATTACAGGGGGTCCTGAATTTTAACTAGAGGTTGTTGAAAATAACACATTTCCCCACCTATTTCAGTTAGCTATTTTTTAATTTAATTTAATTTATTTTTTATTGAAGTCTAGTCAGTTTACAGTCTGTGTCAGTTTCTGGTGCACAGCATCATGTTTCAGTCATACATACACACACATACATTCTTTTCATACTCTTTTTCATTATAGGTTACTACAGGATATTGACTAGAGTTCCCTGTGCTGTACACCAGTTAGCTATTGACGCATGACAAACCATCCTCAAACCCGGGGCTGTAGACAGCCGTTTTACTGCTCTGACTCCGTGTCTCGGGGATTTGGGCAGATCTTGGTGGAGACAGTTGTCTCTGTTCCAGCAGTGCTGACCAGAGGATCCCAGATGGCCTTGCACGATGGGGCTTGGTGTTGGTTGGTGGGGGTGGGAGACCTTGGGTCTCCTCTGCATGGGATCAGCCTCTCTCTCTCTCCCGCGGCCTTTCACCCTAGCCTAGAGCTTTACACAGTGCCTGGTCTCCCGGAGGGTGAAAATGGAGACTGCGAGGCCTGCCAAGGCCGGTAAGAGCAGGTCGCAGGGCGAGTTCAGATTCAAGAGGGAAACGGACAAGCGGCAAAAGCACAATGCCCGAGGGCATGTGGGCTGGGAGTCCTCATGGAGACAACCCACCACTGTTCACCTGCTGCTCACAGTAACTCACCTGCCTCCCCCGCCTCCCCCTTGCAAAGTGCGCTGTCCCGTCTGCCCCAGGCTTTTCCCCTTTTGACAGTGGCTCGAGGTCCAGGGCATCGCTGTCTGAATTAGTTCCAGAGGTTCCTGGGTCCAGTTCTCCTGGTTCAAAACACTGCACCTGGACCCAGAGCTCTGGGAAGTGCAAGGTAACTGCCCTCCAGGTGCCTGCGGGGCGAGGTCCGGAGAGAGAGGGGGCACTGAGCTCAGCATGCTCTCCTCTGGAGGAGTTTCACTGGGCAGGGGACAGGAGAATAGGGACAGTTACTGAAGGGAGAGGAAGGGTGGGAGGGGGAGGTGTTTTCAGATGGGAGGAGGTACCAAACTTGGGGTGCTGCTGACAGGAGCCCCGTGATGCAGGAGATTCAGTCCTGTGCTGCAGCTGAAGCAGGTTCTGAGTCTGGGTAGTGCCTTGTGCTGTCAGAGGCTCACTGGCTGCTGGAAGCTGCCTAGAAAGTACTTCGTTTGACCTCTAGGAAAGGCTCTGTTTTAATAAACATACTTCTGTCACTCAGCTAAGGAGATTAAATGTAGCTAGCCTCGTTTTTCAGGAGTTCAAGAGGATCTACCTAAGAAATGCTCTAGTCCAGCACGGACCTCTGAAGCTTAACCTGAAAGGCAGCCAGGCGCCTGGCAAGCTTACTGGAACCCACCCCAGATGTCTGTTCACTGGGTGGGACTGGGCTGGGGCCCATGAACCTGCTGTTGGAAGCAATGTGCCAGAGGTTCTGATGCAGGGGCCTCGCGTCCCACCTTAGGAAACTCTGACCACGTGACCCGGTTTCGGCCAGGGGTCCTGGGGTCACTGGACAGAGTTTGTGCAGCCAAGTCCAGGAGTCTTGGATTCCTGGCTACTAGTGCACCGTTGTTCCCCGCGTTTCTGTCTTGGCCTCCAGACCCGAATCACTGTGTCTCTGTAAATCACACACAGCTCATAAATGAAAACCCTAGCTGCCCCGTACATTCCCAAGATGGGAGGAGGGGGCAGGGTAAGGGTGGGCGCAGCATGTGCTCTGCAGCTTAGCAGACCTGACTCCGTCACTTAGCAGTGTGACCTCAGGCAGCGGAGGTGCCAGGTGTCGTCCTCAGCCTGTGTCCTCATCTGTAAAGCCCTCTCAAAGAGGATATTTATAGGGTTAAATACGCCGTGCTGTGCAAGCCACCACTGTGTCGCCTGACATAGGCTGTGTGTCCTTTACCGACAGTTAGTGTATCTGATATACTTTAAAAAATCCACACACTGAAATATTGGGCCCAGAGGCTATATTCTCTCAACTTGAGCATCGGCCCCCACACATGTTCAGGTGGGCTTCTGTAGTAGGTAGGTGCACCACGGACGGTGACACAATTGCAGATAGGAGCTCTGTGCAAGTTTGCTAAGAGAAATACGGTTCTGAGGACCTCCGAGCCACTTCTTCTTACCTGTGGCATCACGTCCAACTTTTTGAGATGACAGGTTCCTTCCACAAGCTGGTCGTCTCTCTAGACTCACTTCCCGGAAGATAATGTATCAGTGTTCATATTGCTAAAATGTATCATCAGTGTTATTTTCATTCTCTTTAATTATGGTGACTTCTAGGAAAGTTTGGTTTCTTTCAGAGTTAAAGGCTGTAAGCCAGAATGGTGTTTATAGTACAGTTTTTGACAGTTCATGTATTTCATCATTTATTCTCTAAAGTGATAAAATGATAATATTAACATTTACAACTGTTTTATAGGCGTACTTAGATTTCCCTCAAGTAAGATCATCGTTGCCACGATATAATGCTGAAATTTAATGTGTCTAAAGGCCTGTTTGGAATCTCTTGGAAAGCCTGAGAACAGTCATTACGTACAGCAATGTGATTAATATTTTCATTGAATTCTGCTAGAGATTATTATGAAAAATTACTATAAAACTTGAACATAAATTGTGGTAAAATATCCTGTATTTCTTTAGAATTCTTCCTACAATCTCTATTGTAGCCCCATATTTAAACTGCTATTTCGTTCAACTTTGTTATCATTTCAAAGATTCTGTGCGTAATCCTGTTATCCACAAACGTTTTCATTTCTCTGTGTCCTTATTCGATCTGTCTGTCTGTTAATGTGATTCCTCTCTACTTGTGTCATGTACAATTTGGTTCAATTTTTAGAAATCTCGACATTATTCTGTGAGTAATTTTATTAAGTATTACAGCTAGAATATTTTAATGACTATCTATCTGGTTTACTTAATAGTTCCTGTCCAGCTGGGCATTTTTATGGTTCCAGAGTCCCTCAATTATGAAAAAAAATGCTATTACATAGAATCTCTGTAAATGCAGTTTAGTTTTTATTTTTAAATTGTTGCCTGCTGACAGATTCCCAGGAGTATGATTATACAGTCAAAAACTAGGCCAGTTTTGCAGTCTTTGTGGTGTTAAAACTTATTTTTTGCCAGTTTTGTTGAAAATACTTTAATTATTTGAATTTGCATTTCTTTTCTTTTTTTTAATTGAAGGATCATCAGTTACAGTGGATCATTTCTGGTGTACAGCACACAATGTCCAGTCATGCGTATACATACATATATTTGTTTTCATACATTTTTTCATTTAAGGTTATTTACAAGATACAACATAGTTCCCTGTGCTGTACAGCAGAAACTTTTTCCTAATCTGTTTTTATATATAGTGGCTAACATTTGTAATGAATTTGCATTTTTTAATCATTAACAAGGTGAGACTTTTTTCCCCCATAGAAATGCTTTTAATACTGCTGTTTCCTCTTGTGGATTATCTGTTCTATATTTCTTGTCTGTTTGTTGAGATTTTACATGCTTGCATAAGTTCACAGCCCTTTATGGTCAATCCTGTTGCTTATACCCTTTTTTTTAGTGTATCACCTTCCCTTTTGTGCTGATTTTGCTTGTTCAGCATACAGACAGTATTGAAAACCTTCAGAACTTTGCTTTATGGCCATTCTTGGTGGATGATAGCTTCTTGTTTTAAATGGTTTCAGTTGCTTTTATTTGCTAATGTATTTGTAAACGCAGACCTTTTACATTTGTGGCAGCCTGACAGCTTAAAAAGCATTTCTGTGTATGTATTTCCATTTCTCTCCTCTTCCAGGCACCCAACAGGGGGATCCTTCATTCGTCCAAATAAAGTAAATTTTGGAGTAGACTTTCTCACTGCAATTAAAAACCGCTATGTGTTAGAAGGAGAACTGGAGGAAGAGGAAGAAGAGGAAATTGTGACAATTGGCAATAAACCTGTAGAAACTGTTGGTTTTGACTCTGTTGTAAAACAGCAGAGGTAAGTGAAACAGACGGGGGTAGAGGTGACTTACAGCTTCATCAGGGTTCGGGATAGAAGTTATCTGACTGTACGTCAGTGCCCAGAACTTTGCTCCCAGACTGCTGTGTCTCTTCTGCAGAACGGAGGAATCCAAGGACTTAGGGAAGTTAAAATCCTTATTTTAGCACAGGGTGGGTGGACTTTTCCAGATTGGAAAGAGAACACTGATTTGCCCATCGTCAGTTTTTACACCGTGCTGCATTGTGTTGACTGATCATTAAGTAGCCAAGGTTGGCATCTGGATGATGAGGCGGGAATGGAATGGATGTCTCCGTTGCCCTGTGCCCGGCAGCTTGCTGACACCACCTCGTCCCGAGGAGGCCCCACCTCTGGCCGCACACCCTCACCCCCCGGGGGCTTCTGAAACACACAGTCCTGGGTCCTACGCCAGGCCTCCTGAATCCGAGAACCATGGGCTCTTGCTTTTAGGAGGTGCCCCAGATGACTGTAGCCTACTGCAGGCCAGTAAATAATGCATTTTGAAACTGCTGAGTTGGAACATTCTCTGATTCTCATAGAGCTGCTCACTGCCCATTCCATGCGCTGTGTGACCCAGAGAGAGTGGAAGCTGATATGCCCACCAGACACTCACGGCTGCGTGAGAACCTCCCGGGTTACTCGGGTTTAGCGTTGCTCAGCGCTGTGCTGTGGGCCCCCGACCTGGACGAGGCGGCCTGGTAGCGACCCCTGGTGGCCGCTGTGGAGAGCAGTCGATTTGCCGCTACTTGGCGTCTTTCGGTCTCTAAAGTTCCACTTGAACTGTGGTTTTGTTCAGAGTAAATTTCCTTGCTATCTTTTTTGTTGTTCTTGTTGTAATTATTATTAAGATTTATCATAAAACAGAATTGAAGTGCATATGAGAACAGTGTTGAAGAGTAAGTTCATTTTTTAAAAAACTGAACAATTACAGTGTGTCAATTTCCGGTGTACAGCACAGTGTCCTAGTCATGCATATACATACGTATGTTCCTTCTCATGTTCTTTTTCATTAAAGGTTATTACAAGGTACTGAATATAGTTCCCTGTGCTGTACAGAAGAAACTTTTTAAAAATCTATTTTTTATATATAGTGGCTAATGTTAGTAAATCTCAAACTCCCATATTTATCCCTTCCCAGCCCCTTTCCCCGGTAACCATAAGATTGTTTATTATGTCTGCGAGTCTGTTTCTGTTTTGTAGGTGAGTTCATAGTCTTTTTTTTTTTTTTTAGATTCCACATAAGAGTGATATATAGTATTTTTCTCTCTTTCTGGGTTAGCTCATTTCTTGATACCTCTGATTTTTAGTATAGATGACCAGCATTTAAACATAAAACAACTCAGAAAAAGAATATGAGAAGAAATATATGTATGTATGTGTATGACTGAAACATTATGCTGTATGCCAGAAATCAACACAACATTGTAAACTGACTACTTCAGTGAGAAAGAATGCAAATTTTAAAAAGTACTTTTCACAATATTTAACATAATTAAAATAAAACCTAATGTTATTTTTAAAAACTCAGAATACATCGATTTTTTTAAAAGCAATAACTTGACTGTTACTTACAGACAATATACAGTCGTTGTTGAGGACCTAGAAAATATAAATTGAACCAGAGAGGGTCATGACTGTTGCACACTCGAGAGAGAACTAAGGTGAATGGTTTTTGCTGCTGATTTCTAGAACTGTGTGCTTCATGGGGTTAGAGTTCTTTGTTTTTTCCACTTGAAATGCAAATATTTAAGTATCTTTTTCCCCAAAAGAGGCACTTTTTTTTTCTCCCTAGCCGGTTAATCTCTCTCAGAGAACACTGTGGGCTCTGTGAATATTAACAAATTGCAACAGATTTTCCTCCCCTAGTTTATGAACAGCCGGTAGCTCATGGAGTTTTCTGGTGAAGGACTTCCTGCTTGAACATCATCGTGGTCAATAATGAGCTAGTGTCCTTCTTGGAAAGAAATACTAGAGTCCGTCAGGCTGGGTCCAGATGTCAGCTAAGCCACTTTCTGGCTCGGACAGCAGTTAGAGCTAGTTCCTTACGGTTTCTGAGCCTTGGTTTCCTCGCTTACAAAGCCGTGCCTAAGCTGTGAGAGTGGTGGGGAGCGCTGAAATCGTTTCTCTTTGGAGGTGGCTGTGGCTCTGGAGTGATGGCTGTACTGAGACCCGATCCCTAAGCTTTGTACCAAGGTTTCTGGGCACTGCAGGGGTGCAGCGGGGTGTTTTTAATTTTGGAGGGAAACAATGACGCGTGTTAGACGTGGTGCAAACTGCTAGTTGGAGGTAGTTCATAGTTTCATGATCGTCCTACTACTGTTCCTTTCAGGGTGTCATGTCCCTGCACAGCTGGGCTTTTTGGCGATTCCTGTGCTGGAAGAAAGTTTCTCCTGAAAATCACCATGGCACAGGAAACGGAGGTGGTGGGGCCAGTCTGATTCTAGGGTTTGGGAAGTTGCGCAGTGCTCAACAGACAAGAAGTTGCCAGGACAGAAATCATCGCTAGATTGTTTGGCCCTGACTGCGTACTAAATGGAACCGTGAGGTGTTCCTTTTGGCCTTGGCACCATGAAAAAATTACTGACCCGTGAAGGGCCCCGTGAACTGAGAAAGTTCAGGAGCCTCTGCTTGGTTCTGATGACTGTCACAGCTCCTGCCCTGGCTGGTGATCTTAGTCTTCCCCCTAAAGGTTGTCAGTTTTATGTTTATTTTTGTAAATATTTATAAAATTATTTACTACATATCAGGCAGTATTGAGGGTTTCGCAGATATGAGCTCACTGTTACCATAGCGTTGAAAACTTGTGGAATGTATGTAACACCAGATGTACCTTTTAAGCATTTTCAAGTGTGCAGGTCAGTAGCGTTGGGTATGTCCCCAGTGTGGTGCAGCCGTCCCCACTGTCCCTCTCCAGAGCCTTCTCATCTCCCCAAAGTGAACCGCTGTCGCCTTAAACCATCACCTCCACATCTCTCCTCCCCCAGCCTGGTGATCATGGTGCTACTTCTGACCTGTGCGGTTGACACCCACCTCGGTACCTCCTATAAGTGCAGTTGTTTGTGCTTTTGTGACTGGCTTATATCCCTTAGCATAGTGTCCTCAAGGGTCACAGATGTAGCGTGTCAGACTTTCCTTCCTTCTTAGGGCTGAGTAAGACTCTGTTGTGTGGATTTACCACGCTTTATGTCTGTTCATCGGTCGGTGGACACTCGGTTTGCTTATGTGTGACTGCTGTGTGCCGGGAGCCCAGGTGCACACATGTGCAATCTGAGGCTCAGGGAGGTCAGCTCAGCCAGGGCGGAAGGAGGGTGGAGTCGGGATTGGAAGCCAGGCGGCCTGGCTCCAGATACTGTGTTCTAGACACTCTTCAGCGCTGTGACGCGTGGGCCCTTTTAATGAGTAGGAGACACAGATTCTCTCCACTTCAGAAGTGGCTTCCGGGAGGGTCTAAAAAAGCTGAAGACACGCATGCTCTCCAGATGCATCCCTGGAGAGGCTTTCCCACGCGAGTCCAGACGGCACTGCTGGGAGTCACCCCTGGGTCACCAGAGGAGTCAGTAAAGGAACTGCCTTTATTCCACGGTGTGCGGTCGGGGGCTGGAGCGCGCGTGTCCGCCGCGGACGGGGTACCGCAGAGGGGGGACGTCAGCTGCAGGTGCGGCGGGCCCCGTTCACGGCAGGCTTCAGAGTGTGCGAAGATACCGTGATTGTTGAGGGCCATGGACATAGGCAGTAAAGCTACTGAGAAATGCTGAGCACGAAGTA